CTAATCGTAAATTTTCGTAAGTTTACGCTCGCGTAAAAACTTGCGGAGGTTTACGCCTATTTATTTTTGCTGATGACTTACTAAATATACAATTGTATATATTGATATAATTTAATATTTTAGTAAGCAAATACTTAGCTGCTCTAAAAGTGCCCAAGTATGGTTATTGCACTAATTATGGCAAAAAAGTTTTAATGAGATACTCACTACTTGAGTAAATTTCTATTACTTTAAAATATTCTATAGCTAGTAACAGCTATCTTTTTTAAAATCTTTTCCATCTAGCTTTCTATTAGCAGGAACTAATAGTTTCTTTACTCAGAGACTGCTACTAAAAGCAAAAAAAAAGGAAAAAAATAAACAAATCTAAGGAAAAGAATAGAGGATCACTACATACCTATACCAAAAACTAACAATAAAATAACAAAAATATATAAAAGAAACTGAAAAGTAAAAAATAAAAAAAATAGAAAAAATAATAAAAAAAGAAATAAAAAACAAATACAAGACTAAACTATACTCTTTAATCTGAGCCAGAGCTAAAAATATTAATATATATACATTTAAAAAGATATATATCTCATATTTAGTATATTCTAATAAATAAATTGTTCATCTATTGAAATCTCTACCAATTCAAATTACAAATTATTGAACTCTCTTTGTTGATCACCAAAACCAAATTTGGAGCTAAAGAATGACCAAGGCTTGGTCACAATTTCATTAAGACAACAATAGAACTTGCTTTAAACAAAAGAATAAAATACAAGAAAAGAACTTGAGTTTTTTAAAACAACTTTGCTCACTGCATTCTCTAAAGTGCCCTACTGAGAAAATTATACACTTTCGACAAAAATTTTAAATTTTTTTTAGAAATTTTAGGATTTGCCATTAACCTTGTATTCGAACAAAACAAACAAACATGTCTACTTTAAACAAACAAACAAACAAACCAGGATTGGTAGACAATTATCTAACAAAACAAACAATCATGTATATCTACAAACAACAAAACAATATATGTAAAATGTCTAAACTTATTACTTATAAAAATTTTTTCAATAAATCAGAAACTGAAAGGGCAGCAGTACAAGAAGAGCAAAAGGAATTTATATTTGAACAAGATAGAAAAGTTGCAAAGCATCAATACAATGCAAATAGATGATACAAATAATAATTATTCTCAGAAAAACAACATTGAAATAAAAGTTAAACCTTCCCTCATGGAAGATCTAATTGCACACCCAACTAAACCCTCCAAAACAACCAATATCAACACAGAATATAAGAGAAAGGATAAGTCATTGCCTAATAAAAGTGAAGTCAAAAAAAAAATGCTTTCTATGGAAACTACTTCAACTTCACTATTTATTGAAACTGAAAACACAATGTGCAACATAGAAATAGAATCTTAAGACAACTCTCGAAAGAGAACCCTTAATTGGTAATCCACCAGTCAACCAGAGAATAATTATAGTAAAATGTGACTCAAATTACTTATAAAAATTAGGGTCTCCAAATGTGGCGTGCGCATATCTAAAACTTTTTTTATATTAAGTTAATCACTTTTCTAACTTAAGAGACTTTTGTAAAGCTTGTCAAGACGCATCT